GAAGTCAAAGAGATGACAAGCAGACAGCAAAGACCAGAGAGATGGGCAGGAAACTAAGAGTGTGGTATTTGGGAAGCCAAGAAAAGACAGTGTTTCTAGGAAGAAGGAAGGGTCAACTGTTGGAATTGTTGATGATAAGTCAGATGAGGATTAGAATCAATCACTGGAGTTTGCTATGTGAATGTCATCTGTGATTTGCTAAGAGTGCATTAGGTATACTGATAAAAGATAAGGCCTAATTTAAGGGAAATCAAAAACAAGTAGGAAGAGAGAAACTAGAGATAGAAGTTTAGATAGTACTTTGAGGAATTTTGTCATAAAAGATAGGAAGGAAATGGAACAATACTAGAGGAGGAAGTAGGGCTAAGGGGGATTTTTTGCTGGTTTGTTTGTTTTTTATTATACTTTTAAGTTCTGGGGTACATGTGCAGAACGTGCAGGTTTGTTACATAGCTGTACATGTGCCATAGTGTTTCCTGCACTCATCAACCTGTCATCTATATTAGGTATTTCTCCTAATGCTATCCCACCCCTAGCCCCCCGACCCCTGACAGACCATGATGTGTGATGTTACCCTCCCTGTGTCCATGTGTTCTCATTGTTCAACTCCCACTTACGAGTGAGAACATGCAGTGTTTGGTTTTCTGTTCTTGTGTTAGATTGCTGAGAATGATGGTTTCCAGCTTCATCCATGTCCCTGCAAAGAACATAAACTCATCCTGTTTTATGGCTGCATAGTATTCCGTGGTGTATACATGCCACATTTTCTTTATCCAGTCTATCATTGATGGGCATTTGTGTTGGTTCCCAGTCTTTGCTACTGTGAATAGTGCTGCAGTAAACATACGTGTGTATATGTCTTTATAGTAGCATGATTTATAACCCTTTGGGTATATACCTAGTAATGGGATCGCTGGGTCAAATCGTATTTCTAGTTCTAGATCCTTGAGGAATTGCCACGCTGTCTTCCAGTGTGGTTGAACTAATTTACATTCCCACCAACAATGTAAAAGTGTTCCTGTTTCTCCACATCCTCTCCTGCATCTGTTGTTTCCTGACTTTTTAACGATCACTATTCTAACTGGCATGAGATGATATCTGAATGTGCTTTTGATTTGCATTTCTCTAATGACCAGCGATGATGAGCTTTTTTTAATATGTTTTTTGGCTGCATAAATGTCTTCTTTTGAGAAGTGTCTGTTCATAGCCTTTGCCCACTTTTGATGGTTTTTTTTTTTTTTTCTAGTGAATTTGTTTGAGTTCTTTGTAGATTCTGGATATTAGCCTTTTGTCCCATGGATAAATTACAACAATTTTCTCCCATTCTGTAGGTTGCCTGTTCACTCTGATAATAGTTTCTTTTGCGGTGCAGAAGCTCTTTAGTTTAATTAGATCCCATTTGTCTATTTTAGCTTTTGTTGCCTTTGCTTTTGGTGTTTTAGTCATGAAGCCTTTGTCCACGCCTATGTCCTGAATGGTATTGCCTAGATTTTCTTCTAGGGTTTTTATGGTTTTAGGTCTAACATTTAAGTCTTTAATCCATCTTGAGTTAATTTTTGTATAAGATGTAAGGAATTTTCCAGTTTCAGCTTTCTGCAAATGGCTAGCCAGTTTTCCCAACACCATTTATTAGATAGGGAATCTTTTCCCCATTGCTTGTTTTTGTCAGGTTTGTCAAAGATCAGATGGTTATAGATGTGTGGTGTTATTTCTGAAGACTCTGTTCTGTTCCATTGGTCTATATATCTGTTTTGGTACCAGTACCATACTGTTTTTGTTACTGTAGGCTTATAGTATAGTTTGGAGTCAGGTAGCATGATGCCTCCAGCATTGTTCTTTTTGCTTAGGATTGTCTTGGCTATGCTGGCTCTTTTTTGGTTCCATATGAAATTTAAAGTAGTTTTTTCCAATTCTGTGAAGAAAGTCAGTGGTAGCTTGATGGGGATAGCATTGAAGCTATAAATTAGTTTGGGCAGTGTGGCCTTTTTCACGATATTAATTCTTCCTATCCATGAGGAAGGAATGTTTTTCTATTTGTTTGTGTCGTCTCTTACTTCCTTGAGCAGTGGCTTGTAGTTCTCCTTGAAGAGGTTCTTCACATCCCATGTAAGTTGTATTCCTGGGTATTTTATTCTCTCTATAGCAATTGTGAATGGGAGTTCACTCTTGATTTGGCTCTCTGTTTGTCTGTTGTTGGTGTATAGCAATGCTTGTGATATTTGCACATTGATTTTGTATCCTGAGACTTTGCTGAAGTTGCTTATCAGCTTAAGGAAATTTTGGGCTGAGACAATGGGGTTTCCTAAATATACAATCATATCATCTGCAAACAGAGACAATTTGACTTTCTCTTTTTCTAATCAAATGCCCTTTATTTCTTTCTCTTGCCTGATTGCCCAGACCAGAACTTCCAATACTGTGTTGAATAGGAGTGGTGAGAGAGGGCATCCTTGTCTTGTGCCAGTTTTCAAAGGCAATGCTTCCAGTTTTTGCCCTTTCAGTATGATATTGGCTGTGGGTTTGTCATAAATAGCCCTTATCTTTTTGAAATGCGTTCCCTCAGTATCTAGTTTATTGAGAGTTTTTAGCATGAAGGGCTGTTGAATTTTGTCAAAGGCCTTTTCTGCATCTGTTGAGATAATCATGTGGTTTTTGTCTTTGGTTCTGTTTATATGCTGGATTACGTTTATTGATTTGCGTATGTTGAACCAGCCTTGCATCCGAAGGATGAAGCCCACTTGATTGTGGTGGATAAGCTTTTTAATGTGCTGCTGGATTTGGTTTGCCTGTATT